GGTGCAGAAGTTTGGATGCCTGCAGGGGTTGCTTGTCTCCTCTGGGTCTGTTCTTCCTTCCCTCTGGGAGGGCCTTAATGGAAATCAGCTCCATTTCTCCTGCAGACCAGAGTGGCAGGGAGTCACTGCAGGCTGGTGATATTCTGATACAAGGAAACAGGTGTGCATACAAACCAGGCTGTGAAAAGCCAGTGTCCATAAAGGAGCCAGAGGAGCCCTGCAGCTTTGTTTGAATAAAGGGAGAGAGTCCATGGGGACATCTGCTGCTGGGCTTTTCTCTCTCAAAGTTTTGGAGGACACAGCCTCTATTTAAACTCCTGGCCACATGCTGCCCTCTTCCTTTCCCCACTGGCTGAGGTACCAGGCCAGGGGACTGCAGGGACCTTTGTACCCTCTTTTCCTTTTGCAAGGTATTACTTCTGGTTTCCATCCAAACTGTAATAGATAGAATATGAGATGATTGGCTCTTGCAATTAAGGGATGAATATTGTGTGTATCTTAAGAGAAGCTTTATTGATGTAGAGTTATGTTATTGTGATTTGTTGTTTAGATGTTCTCTGTTCTCCCCACAGTCCCCTTCCCCCTTTTATAAATGAAAATTAGTCCAGCCAAATTTAAAATGAAACAATAAAAAGTTATTCAGGATTGAATTCTCTCTGAGCAGGCCAAAAGGAAAAGGACAGCGCTGAGCCCAGGTTTGGCACTGGGTGCGGGACAGGAAGGAGCCTCTCGGCAGAGGTTCCCCTGGACACACACACCACCCTCCCGGACCCTGCAGTTCTTAAAGGAAATTTTCTGCCCGAGGCCAGGATTTCAGTCACCTGCCTTTTCTTTCCATTCAGAGTCCCACATATTCATAAAGTTCTTTTCTCTCAGCCGGGGTTAAACAATCCAGGTCCAGGTGTGGACAATTTTTCCTGATGAGGTTATGGGAACCGTGGCATTCAGATGCATCAGCCCGGAGGACTCCAGCGATCCCAATCTTGAGTCGCTACCGGGATGATCAGCTCCCAGGTGTTCCAGTATCTCCTTTTGGGACAGCCCATCTCCAGACTAGCCACATGTATTAAATTGTAAATGAGGCATTGTCCAAAAAAAACCTGGCTCCGGTGTAAACAAATATGTGTGTGTGTGTGTGGGGTAGGGGGGCAGCTTACAGTGCTGGTATGTGTATTGTGTAATAACTAAATATTATACATGCCAAATCATATTTGCCTTGATTCAATACAACAATATTTCATTGGAGTAAATTATAATCATACATCTCACCCCCCACTCCCTATTGTTCCCACCAGACAGCCTGGGCTGTCTAGACAGGTAGAAAGAAGGCGTGTGTGGTATTCACATATCCTTTGAACAGTGAGAGACACAGGCTTTCCCAGGAAAATCCTGGGGAAGGCTGTGAGAAAGCTCAGAGAAAGAAGAAAGACAATTATCTCCATTTGCTGCATCTGTTGTTTGGCACATGTGGAATGTGTTATGGAGATTGTTTACCAAAGAGGGATTTCTTCATTGGACTCTGGTGATGGTGTTTTGATTTCATTTGACCAACTCTGTGTTGGACTGTCTCTAAGGGTCACGGGTTTCTCTTCAGTATAGCAGTAATATAGTTTTTAGTATAGTGTAATATAGGACAGCTTAATAAAGCTTTTGTTCAGCCTTCTGCAAACATGGAGTCAATGCACGTCATTCCCTGCAGTGGGGGTCCACCACAATAGGTATCGACATATACCCCTTGCATGGGAGAGTAGGAATGGAAAAGCTTGTTGCTGGGGGGACGCGGCGTGACAACACCTGACCTTCAAACGCAGCTACAAGAAATAAATTCCACCAATAAACGGCAAAGAAGGGTTGACTGACAGACTTTGGGAGGGCCCAGGGGTGGCTGATGCACCCTCCAGGAATGTAAAAGGTGAAGCATCAATCTTGAAGATGAGGCAGCCACCTGGCAGGTAGCAGCCATCGGGCAGGGGGCCTTCCCAGGCCTGTTCTTCCTTATGAGTCCTTCTCTTATGTTTTTGTAAATGTTTAATAAACGTTTTTAAACTTTTAAAGTGTGCAGTTGTTTCTCACAAAACCCAGTCCTAAGGTGGGATGGTCGTGTTACTCCTGACAGGAATGGGCTCCCTGCAGTTCGAGCTGTTCTGCAGCCTGTGCTTTTCCATACCCTGCTTTGCTCTTCAGGTGGCAGATGGCTTGGGCAGGTCACTCCAGACACACGAGAGTGCCAGGGTAGGCCCAACCCCTAAAGCTCTCACAGAGCTGTGCTTGACTCCAAATTAGGTAAGCATGAAACGGATTTTAAAGACTGTAGCACGTCTGCAGTTTCAAGGGATAGTAAAGCCAGTGCTGCACTCTGAGAACTAAGTCCAGAGTCTGAGTTGTTGATGTCATTTAACTAATTTGCAGCTCATTATTGTGATGATGATGATAGTAGCATAGAACATTTCCTTTTTTTTTTCCCTCCCCCAAATAAAAAGGTGCCATTCAGCTTCTGGAGAAGAGAACTCTCAAAGGTGCAGTTTGGCAGTCATGGAGGCAGAGGTGGGGGAGAGACAGATATGCCCTGGAGGGATGCTCTGATGGGCTCCAGCAATTAAACAAGCTACTTTGATACATAGACTGGGCCATTTTCAATACTAAATGGCTGCATTAAATGGTTTTCCAGGCCTTATGCTGGCCAGAAAACTTTTAAAGCCCATGGGAGTTTAGCCTCCATGAGAAAGGCAGCATCAGTTCCTGTGCCAGGTGAGACATAGCGTTCAAAAGCTCAACTTGTGTTTAGAGGAGCCACCGGCCTAATGTAAGCAAGGCCAGAAAGCTTCTCCAGTCCTGCTGAGCGCGTGTGGCAGAGCTGTTGTGTTTTACAGCAGCTCCATGGCAGCACAGCAGCTGCAGCAGAGGGCTCAGGACAGCCTTGGGGGGAGCAGGGCGGCAGGAAGCTGAGCAAAGCCCCTGCTCTATGACTGAGGCACTTTGTGCAGAAGCAAAGAAAGATGGTGACTTGAAGAGATTCCTGCTGTGCTCAAGGTTTGCCTCTGAAGACTGAGAGGTGAGCTTGTCAGGAATCCCAGAAAACATCAGGGAAAAGGTTTTAGGTTAGTTGTTGTGATTAGGCACAAGTCTCCTGTGGGAAAAGAGCCTCTGAAGCAGGCTGTGAGTCATAGAGTGACTTAGTTTTTATTAGAGCATAGATTAGCAATTCAATGCATTTTATATTTTTATTCTAGAAGTGTAAAAATATTCTAAGTTTTTCTGAGTACTAAAACTACTTTGAAAAATATAGAACTGTTGTGGGAAAAGGGACTAAATATTTGGAGAATTTTCTATGAAAAATATTCCTAAATCCTGCAAAATGAAAACTAAACACAGTAGCTGCTGGTCTCAGGTGCCCGAAGCCCAGCTGCTGCCTGCCCAGCACTGGCTGTGCCCAGACAAGCAGCTCTGCCAGTGCTGGTGGGAGCACCCAGGGACCAGAGCTGAAGCCCAAAGATGCTGCTGGAGTCAGGCCCTACCCTGGCAGGAGGGCTGCACCTCCTGTCCTGGCTGGACACCAGGGCCAGCACCTTTGGGGACAGAGGGTTCTGTTATGGGTGGTGGCAGCATGTCCCCAGCAGTAAGTGGGTAATGCAGCTGTGGAAGGCATGTTGGAAACTGGCTTGGGGAAGGCTGATGACAGGAACAGATCTGCATGGCTGAAGTCATCTGGTCTTGTGAAGCTGCAGAGGCGCTGCTGTGGAGAGAGGAGTGGCTGAGGCCCCAGCTGCCAGTGGCACACAGGGAGCCTCCTGCACAGCAGGGCCCAGAGCTGGCAGGGCTCCCCAGCACGGCTGGAGCGGCTGGCACACCTTGGCCCAGCTGGACAGCTGCCCCTCAAGGCCCCGGCGAGCAGGGGACGGCTCTGGGCAGGCTCCCTGGCCAGGGGCGGGCCCCAGAGCGTGTCTGCCTTTCAGGGGCGATCTCGTCCTTGCTCTTTCTCCTCCCCACCTTGCTGTGCCTCTGCCCTGTGCCCCTGGGGCTGCTTGTGCCCAGGCAGCCTCAGTGGGAGCCAGCACTAGCTGCAGCCCCAGCGGGCCCCCAGGACAAGGCCCAGCAATGAAGGGGCCAAGGAAAGCACTGGGCAGCAGCAGAACCTTCAGCAGAGTTCTTTGGAAAGCCATGGACTGGCCACATCTCACTGGGAATCTTCCCTGACTACCAGCAGCCTTTAAAGGAAGCTGTTTGAGGTTGAGATCAGAAAAACACTCACCTTTTTGTCTTCCAGCAATACCAGATTCCCGCAGAGCAGATCATCAGGCCAAGTGCTGCACCAGCCACAATGGCCATCATCTTCATCAAACAAGATGTTCCCCAGCAGAAATCTCTTCTCATGCTTTTCTAGATTTTGTCAGCACGTGTTGAGGTTCCAGCTGCATCTGTGGGAGCATTTGGGAGTGTGAGCCATTGCCATGCTGCACTGCTGAGCTGGCAGCACAGTGGATACGGCCAGGCCTGCAGGCACCTTGCCGCCCCTTGGCACAGGACTGCCCAGTACCCAAAGCCCTGAGCCTGCATGCCGTAATTGCTCTGTGCTGTGCTGTTCTGCTCCCAGCAGTACGTGTCAAAGAGGTGGATAAGGACATGGAAAATGCCCAGAGTTTTGAAGCTGCCCCAGGGCCCTCCCTCCAGCAAACAGCTGCCTCTCTGCATCTCCCCAGAGAGCGGGAAATTGCAGGCATCTCAGGCCCATGGTGCAGTTTGGGCTCCCTGTCAGCTGGTGCCAAATGCCTTCCTGCAGAGGCTGGGGAGAAGCTGCAGCCAGGCCAGGCTGGGAAACAGCCCTGCAGGCCAGGAGAGCAGCAGCGGGGCAGCGAGGCTGCCATGGATCCCTTCCCGCTGTGCCGGGCAGGGCCTGTCTATATGTGCAGGGCAAGGCCCCGGCTGCTGAGTCCCAAGGGGAAGGCTGAGGGAAATGCACCCACCCCTGCGTCTCTCCAGATCATTCAGTGTCTTGTCCATGTGTTTGGATGCCTCCAGGGACATGTGTCCTCTAAGTTTGCTCTTCCTTCTCAGGGGACCTTAAGGGAAATATTTCCATTTCTGAGGAATGGATCCCACAAAACCAGTACTCAGCCTGTGGGATCAGGAGGGACACGCTACTCACCCCTGCGATGGGAGCTGGGCTTTTGAGCAGCATCTACCAAAGGACCAGGGAAAGACCTCTCTGCAGCCACACCTGAAACTCAACAGCCACAGGAGCTTCTGTCATCTCTGCAGATCTGCACGGGCAGCACTGAGCCGCAGGAGCGGTGAGGGGATGGCCCAGGGCGAGGGCACACTCGTGCATGGTTCTGTCCTGGCACCTGCAGCGATGCCCCCCTGGCCGAGCTTTGGGATCTGAGCTGGCAGCTCTCACAGGGGGAAAGGCCTTGACCTACCCTCAGCATCTCCCAGAGGCTCAGTGATGGGTATGGGTGGGGAAGCTGCACCACCTTCACCAACAGGTTCAGCTGCAAAGAAAGGCAGGACAGAACAGCTCCTGTGGTGCTGTAGCAGATCCTCAGGCTGCACCCAAGGCTCAGCCCCGGGACACAGCCCTGGGCTCGGCCCCTTCCCTCTCTGCTCTTCTCTGGGGCTGCACAGATCACACAGAAGGACACTCTGACATTGCACACAGGAATAAAACTGACAGCTAAATGCTCCTTCCTCCCACTGACAGTGATCCTGTGGGATCACTCACGGCTCCAGAAAGGGAGCAGGGCGAGGCTTCCAGATTCCTTCAACCCTGGGATGATGTTAAGGGAAGTGGAGGATGGGTGAGCTCTTGTCACATTGATTATTCTCTCAGGAAAGGCACACTGAAAACTTGCCTCCAACATCCTTCAAGAACTTAATCTCCTTTTCCACTAGGGCTTCCAAATAATCCATGTTGCCATCCCGATCTAGAAGGGAGCACAAATCAGAACCATTTCCATGGTGTGTTGTGATCCCCTTCTGCCTTTAGGAACTGGGTACTGCAAAGGGGTCGGGTAAGGCCGTGGGGGCCAGATGTGAATGGAGAAGGCCAAAGGTGCACAGGGGCCTGGGGAGCTCTGGGCTGGCTCCTGGTCACTCTCCAGACTCTTTGCAAGCCCTACCAAGATCCGTAGAGGGGCAGCTGGAGCAGCCCGGGGCTGTGGGGCCTCTCTTCCTCCCACAGAAGAAACTCTCCCTAAAGCCCTGGGGAAGCCTCCAGCTGGCATTGCCACAGGTATCCCTTCCTCCCTCTGTCCCTCCTGCCCTCCCACTGCTGGGACAAATCCCCCAGCCCAATGGCACATACCCAGGCCCTCTCAGGACACCCTGGAGTCTTGCTCTCCCCCTCTGCCCTTTCCCCACCGTGGGCACCCCGTGCAGTCACTTCCAGGTCTCGGGATGTGCCTCGCAGGCAGTGACCCCAGCAGGACTGCTCTGTGAGAAGATATTTTTCCAGAAAATCTTTCTGTAAGAAAAACTGCTTTTTTCATCCTCCCAGTGTATTATTGGTGTGGGACAATAGCAATTTAGTCATAATTCTCTGGGTACAAGTTATTAGTCATCTTCTGTGTTCTTTTGAGGTGATATTTTCAGTGTTGGTTTTTTTGTTTGTTTGTTTGTTTGTTTGTTTTCATTAATGGCACTTTTGACACCATGTGGCTTTGTAAATTACAGATGTCCAGAATAACAAAACTCACAGTTTGCATATGCGTCTCTGTGTTTTTCTTGGGGTCCAGAGAAATGTGACTATTCTGCATTTCCTAGAAAGGGAGTTGTGAGACCTCAGCCCTCGCCGCACATTACACAGAATCTGTAATGAGCTCTTTCTGTGCCTCAGGAGGAGCACAAAGCAGCTGGAGTGGGACTAAGAGTCCAGACAGCTGAACTTGGTGGGGATGGAGGATGGTCAGCACTACAGAGAAAATGTTCGATAGCTTGTCAATTCATGACCCTGAGGTCTGAGAGGCTTCCATTCCCTCAGACAAATGCTGATCCCCATTAATATGAATGGTTGAACTTCGTGTGACATCAGTCAGTCCAGGGTCTGAGTGCAAGTACATTATTCCCCGTGCCATTAATGCAAGTCACATACTCCAGCTAGGCAGACAAGGGAAATAGAATTTTCAGTAGTCATTGTTTTACTTTGCAGTACTGTGTGGACGTGGCCAGCTCCTCATGCTTGATTATCTTCAAGATATTTGTTGCATTTTATAAAGTTCATCGGCAAACTTGTGCTTGCTTCTTAAAAGTGGTATGCTGTATCATGTAGCCCATTTGACTGGGTAGAAGGAGACATGTCATATTTAAGATAGTGACACTGATAATTAGCTGTTAGTATCTAATTCCACTTCTTTTTTCACTTCAGTTGCTCCTAGAATATCTAGTGAGTACATTTAGCATCAGTTTCCCCAGCAGAAATAGTAAGGACACACTTCCTTCGCAATGATGCAATGATGTATGTACTAGTTACTGTATATTTTAAGTTGAATGTATGAAAGGTATTATATAAGTTTTGAAAACTACCTTAATAGTGTTTTATTCTTCTCTAGGCACAGGAATTTTGATTTTGTATTGTGATTTAAATAGACAATAACTAAAAATCAAGGCTTTCGTTGCTTAATTGTTGTCACATATCTCAATTTAGGGGTGGTTACCATTTAGTTTGGTAAAGGATCCAAAGACTCAGATTCCTTTTGAACAGCCAATATCTAGTTTTTCTGATGATTTATTCATAGCAGTTTGGTTTTTGCTTTTTCCTTGTGAGGAAATTGCCCTTCATAGGATCTGTCTATGTAAGGTTGTTGTATAATGCATGTTCATTTGCTTAGTTATATTTGTAAGCTCCAGCTGTGCCCATCACTTGCTAAATCTGTCGTTGAAGGATTTTTTTTTAAATTCTGCCTGGCTTTGTTTTCAGATGTCTCTGAATTCCTTCCTGTGTTGAGTCACAGTGTGAAAAGAGAAATCTCCCTCTTTAATTCAAGGGGTCAGTGGTTTAAAAGCACTGAAGCCTGGTGGGGAATGGCTTAAGAAGGTACTTAATCATGGTGATCCCAAGGCTTCATAAACTTACACAAGGCTCATCTGACAGGAAGAGTCCTGGGTATCTTCAAGCCCTGGTTTCTTTGAGGAGTAGCTATTTTACCAGGGAGTGGAATCCTCTATGGAACAAGCACCTGTGATGGATCTTTGCCACCTGCTCAGCCGTGGCTATAGAAACACAACTTAATCTTTTCCACCACATTTCTTTCTCTAGCTAAGCCAGCATGGAGCCCAATTCCTTTCTAGTAGTTTTTTTTTTACCCACAACATTGAGAAATATTTAATGTGGTAATTACGATGGCTTCCACTTCTTGGTGCCACTGGGAGATAATAGACTGGCAGGAAGGAGTTGCTGATCTGGACAGAAAAGAGAGGTCAGCTTGGAGCACGCAGATGGTCTGGTGTGCTGGGCGAGCAGAAATCATTGGTGTGGTTTGGGTGTCAGTAAAATTCACCCAGTGGCATTTTTCACCCAGCTTGTTTAGACTCCAGTGGGGGAATCCTGGAATAAATCCCCTTCTTGTCTCAGTGCAGGCAAAAGCCTTATTTCACATACCATGTAATTAATTTTGATACTCAGTTCTGGGCTTAGTTTTCATGGGATGGGCAAACCAGGACTATGTGGGTGAATTGTATGTGGAAGCTGTGAGATACTGAATTAAGTGATACAGCTAATGCAGTGCCTGCACCTATGCTGTGTGTACTCCACTTGCCCTATGCACACATTGCTATTCTTGATACTGGAGTTTATTATCTGCCTATGAATCAGTTCTTGAATTGCTTCAGCTTCTGGACAGTTTCATACAAGAAAAGTGATCCTGTTTTCAGTCAGATTTTAATAGTAAAGCAGTGAATTCGTAAGCAGCTCAGGTAGACATTGCCCTTATCAGAAGACTCTTTGGGAAGATAAGGTCACTAGAGAGTAGAAAAAGTCATTTGATGGCTGTCAGACATCCAAGTTTAAGTGGAAGGATGTTGGATGTTGAGCAAGACCTTCAGTGTGTGATTCAGTTCAGTTACTCATTTGTCCATTAACTGCTAAAGGAAGTAGTAGGAAAATTAGGATTGAAGGAGACGTGAGGAAGTCATATGGTTTTGTTTGTATTTCAAAGGATGGATAACTTCAACTTTGGATTAGATTGCTTAGAGCTATGTCCAGTCAAGGTTCAAATGCCTGCAAAGATGGAGAATCCACAACTTCTCTGAGCTCCTGTTCCAGTGTTGACAATCCTTTCATTCTTTGAGGAATGAAACCTCAGAACTCCCTCAAGCTTGAGATTGCCTCATCATCTTACGGGACAAATGACTTAGGGAAAAAGGAAATGAGAAGTGTTTTACACCCTGCCTTTTCAATATTGGTCTTCTGGTTATAGAAACTAACTGGTTGACCATCTAAATTTTTCCTTGTTTTTCAGTGAAATACTGATTCATCCTTGCACACTGTGTCTTCACTTGGTCCTCACAAGACAAAGGAAAGTTATTGTGAATTTAAACTGAAGTGGAAGTATTTCTGTGTTGAATGGAGGAGATGACGCCTGAATTCTTGGTTTCTTTTTCAGTATGGCTGTTTCAGATTCCAGGAACTGTCATGATAGCACCCTTCACAAAGCAGCTTAAAAATAGACCAGCAAAACAACTATTGAACCAAATATAAATTGATTCCTGCTGTGTCACAAACAGAAAGGTTTTTGAGACTCTGAATAGATAGCAGCATGTTGTAACCCTTGAAAATGTTAACATTGATGATGAGAGGACACAGGACTGTTGAAGCTTTGATAGCCTGCTGTCTGAACCCACTCTGGCAGTGTGTTTTTCCTTACGCAGCTCTGTGAAGTTCTTTATAGAAAATGAAACTGTGATTGCTTGTAATTTTCTGCCGTTTGCACAAGCACTTAAATCACAAATAAAACACTGGAAAAAGTGGTATGTGAGTCATGGATCTCCCTGCAGGAGTTCCAAGTCTGTTGTCCCTGTGGAGAAGGTTGGCTGTGTGACTAGGGGGATGTGGGTACTGGTCCAGACTGCTAGTGTGACATTATCCAAGGGATGTCATCTCCTGTGGCAGCATTAAAAGAAATCCAGCTAACTCTAACAAGGATAGAGGGTAGACAATGGAGACATTAAAGCTGTTAAACTGCTCAGATGCTGTGATGGTGAGTACCTGAGGGAAACCCATCAAGAGGAACAGGTCCCCATTGAGTCAGTGACTTGTGTAAGCTCACAAATGGGATTTTTTTATAGAGGTTCTGCTGATTCTCTGTTACATATACTCCAAATTTAAATGAAATCAAATGTTTAAAAAAAAAAACCAGAAAGAAAGCAAATGTGTTCAGTCTAACAATAAAATAACCTGGTTATTGGGCCAACAGAGATCACTGTTCTACAGTGTACATGTTCATATGTGTATCACTTTACATTTTAGCTGCAAAAAATGTTGATCCAAAATTAGTTGGACAATGCATTAAAAAAAACCCTTCTCCAGTAGGCTTCAAGAATATAGTCATGAATTATTAAATCAATTTGTTGGAAATGGAAATTAAAATCCTTCCGGCATGTCTTTCCCTATAGTGTAGTTTATACATTAAATCCTGCAGACTGT